TACACTTGACTGATGGTAAAAACTGACCAATCTTCTTCGGCGGCTTGAAGTATGTTTTGATGGAAGCGCGCTTCAAGATGTAGCCAATCTTGTCAGTGACTCCTCTAACATATGGCAGTACAGCAGGTACACGCTCGACTGTGGCCGGCTTCACTCGTTCTCTGTGACGTAGGCGCGGGACCCGAAGCTTGTTGTCATACAAAACTTGCTTGACATGTTGGAGCTCGGCAGCCAGGTGTTTACTGTCACAGATCCCTCGTGCTCTCTGAAACAAAGATTTACCCACGGTAGCTAACTGTGAAGGATGGTGGTGATAATGGCGATAAATTCCGTAAAAACTAGTATTATTTCAATGTGTAGTGTTCGCGTAAATATAAGAAATCATTATAAAGGAGTTCCAGCCGAAAATGTTTATAATAACGATGAAACCAACCTTGTTGACGAACCGTGTGGCAGCTTTGCTTAAGAATTTTTTTATTGATGACGTTTCATGATATTTGAGTTCATTATTTCAGTTGACATCCGTTTACGTAGCTTACATTTGACAATGTTTATAATGCCGAAAATCCGCTATACTTCGGCGTTTGAATGTTGAAGTGACAGCACACTGATAACTAAGTCCACTAATTCCCGAAAGGCATTCATCTTAGCCACATTTTTGTATCTGCAGACTTGAGCCCAAAATTTCACTATATCATTACCATCACCTTCTTATTTGACCAATTAAATTCTATGCCATTTGCTCCCTACTCAGATCTATATTTCTGGCTATAAGCTTCTTCTTCGGTGGCAAATCTATTTAAAATTTTCACGAAACAAATAAACTGAACTGAAAAACTAGGTACTTACCGACGGCAGCACGGCTATAAATTCTACAAAGTTTCAGGGACAGGCGGACTATGCTTTAGCACGTAGCAATCGTTCTCCTGTTCTCTAGCCTCCATGGTGAGTAAACTGCTATACATTTCGGGAAAGTCCCGAGCATAAAGCATACTAGGGTCTATGTCTATTCCTTTGGTACGGGTCCAATGTTGCTGTATAGAAAAAGATTTCTTCAGGTAATCTTTTAAAACAGTTTTTCAACATAGAAATTATGGTATTTTTGCTTACGATCATTAAATTAGGATAGTATATCGTACTTATTGACTATATATATACATACAGATATATATTCATCGCATACCTTTGTTGATGATGTTTTCATAACTGTCTATACATATGTGTGTATAGACAGTTATGAAAACATCTATTTAGTTTGTAACGAATAGATAGTTATAAATAACTCTCTTATCTATCTATTTCACGGCTCACTGAAGTCAGCCCCCCGTAAATTTATATTAAGATGATTATTATTTAGGGGCAAGTCCCGATGGACTTATCGGAGATGACTCTCTAATTCAAGTCAAATGTTCTGCTTCTAATACGCCACCTGTAAAAGCTATAACTGAAAAAAGATCAAATTTTGTTTGATACGAGAAGGACAGATGATTTAAAAAAAATCATGATTACTATTATCAGATCCAGGGTAAATTCCACATCACTGGTAGGTAATTTTGTTTTTTCGTAGTATGGACGCTACATGTTTTGGCGTATGAAAAAATTAAAAAGAAAAATGGAGCCAAAACGTAATTCATTTTATTTTCAATAAATACGGCAGCTCGAGAAAGAGTATAATAAGGTAATATGTAGTAATAAAAAAATTATTTCCATAAGTTGATACTTTTTTATTTATTCACCTACCTAATTAAGTGTAATCTCGAAATCTTTTTAAGTTACAGTCCTTATTCAATAAAGACTCTAAAATAAAAAGACTAAATAACTATTGAAGTTATTCACAGATATTATTTTTTCATAAGAAATATTATTTGTGTAGGTTTTCGGTATTACTTTCTTCTCCCTAGGCTATAATAATGCCTTTTTTAATTATAATTTTTTTATGTTACCCACACACTAGGACTTTCTCCTGTATAGTCGAGGCAGTTTTTACATACATAAATTGCTCAAGAATAAACATTCAGAACCGGAACAATTACTTGTAGGTCATACAAATACTTGTGCCGTGCGGGACTCAAACCCGCGGCCCTCAGCGCTATAACTCATTGCTGAGCTACTGCGCCACGTAGCCGTCAAATCTAAACTTATATGTAAATCGACAAAATCTCCGACATCTAATAACAACAAACCACAACTACAGCAGTATGCGTATGCCCCTGCCTCCCGACCCGTATCGTGCGATAGAGAGAGTTGCAAGTCTTGGAATCAATTGTCTACATTTCTTTATAGAAATATTATTTCGGGCGATAACATTTTTACCCCCCTAAACCTTTACGAAATGAGATAATTTTGGTACCATTAGATTCAGTACATCTTAGTCTAGGTCTGTACGTTTCCTTTTATAGTAAATCAGTTTAGTTTAATTAAAAAATAAAAACGCTCGAGGAAGTTTTTAAATCAAAAATATAGATATTTAGATGCTAATAACTTAAATCGTTCGTAATATTTTTTAAAATTAAAACGTATGGACCTATTTTTTTTTGTTATATCTACAACATTTCCAAAAATTAAAAATGAAAATTAGGCTATGTTTACTGGTGGGAAAACGTTATCGCTTTTTGTATGAAAATTTACAGCTTCACAATCCTCTTTAGATAATGCCTTCACTTCTTTCTTCAGATATATCTTTCTCACAAGTTAATTGGTAAGGGATGAGAATTTGAGTGTTCTGATGATCTCTAAGACTATATTATTAATATGCATTAAAGTAATGATACTTATGTGTTTAAACTTAAGGTTTAAACTGTTCTAATTTAAGGGGCGTGTATAAAACGTAGGTAAAAAAAGTGTACTCATTCATAGATATAGTGGAGTTCATACTAGATCTATGTTACCACAGTCTATTATGATCACAAATTAATAAGAGTACTAACGTACGTAACGTAGTGATTATGATGCTTACGGTGGTTTTGGCGGGAACTTGGCCATCCACGAATTGTCGCTCTTGTTTTGTCGCTTGAATCATGGTTTGAAGTGGATTTTTGTTCGTAAAAGTGATTGATTGTTGATTTTGATGCAAACCGCAAGTTATTTTGATCGCTTGGACGTCTTATGAACTTGAGTGGCTGTCGTCATCAACTGTCCGCTGGGTTGAGTCGGCGTCAAAATCTCCCAAAAACCTCACAATGTGTCGCATCAGCTTCTTGTGAAGAAAAAATATATAATAATGAATATTCCGAAAGAAATGATAGGCTCAGAAGGGCTAGTACCCAGAGCCGTTAAGCCAGTTAAATAAAAAAAATATGATATTGATTCCTCTATTCCATAACCATTCATTCAGTAAGAATTTTTCATTCAATTGAATTTTTCATTCCTTTCTTCATTCTTCATTTCATTCATTTATAACAGATGGTGTGGTGATAGTGAGATATTTATGATTCTATAAGTATTCCTATAATTATATGTTAAGTAGGAAGTAAAAGCTTTTCTTTTTATCGTCTTGTTACCGGTTTTAATATAAAATGTCAGAGCCACGGAAAAATCATCTTAATATAGATGGCGGTCAAGGACGGAAAGATGACCATGTCGTTGCTTCTTACAAGCCTATACCAGAATCTGATACAGGTAATTAATATAAGTCATGTCACTGTATTTAGTATAATCCACAATATTCATATTGATGAGTTAAAAACTAAAACTGAAATACTTTAAAATTTATATTTTGTAATTCTGCTGACTGCATCCTCCTCCCGTACCTACATCCTTAGTCTTTGTTGGAAATTACTACCTATTTATTAGCGTTAGCCATTAGCGTATCAACAATAAATCAAATATCAAATTACACATTATCAATGTGACCCTTGACATTATCTTGTAAAGTCAGCGTCGGTTGTGATCTGTCAATTATTATACAACTTTATGAAATGGTTTCGACTACTGCATTCAATTGTTCATTTTTTATTTGCTCAACCTCAATTATGTACGCTAACTTTTTTATATTACGTTTTAAATGTGTGTTAAGTATGCTTTCAATATCAGGTAATACAATTTTGGTGTCAATTTACCTATTTATTTTGCTGGTATTCAGCTAGTTACTTCTAATGGATATGTTCCGAAATAGAACGCAGTGTACTGTCCAATGCAAATGACATTGTGTCATTTGACACTTTATTGTACTAGCGTGACTCCGCCACATTGTGTCGGATATCCGGCCATAATAAAACAATTTTTAATTGTGTGTTGGCCGAATGAAGCATGCTAGAATTTGTTTCTATTTATTCAAATACAAAAAATTATAGAATAATTGATGGTATATCCATTAGGAGGATATAATGATTTTTGGAGCACAAAATGACAAAATAATCGCCAACACTTTTCCAAATGGCGCAAAAGTATGACGTCATATACTGTCCAATGTTTTGGAACGAATCACCAGTATAGCGTCGATTCATGACGTCATTTGCATTGGACAGTACACTGCGTTGTATTTCGGAATATACCCGAGACTTCTTAACTCGGATGGATAATAAAGCGCTTTTATTGGACGAATATAGCTTTAGACAGCGCCATTTTGTCACTCGTTCGCTGACTGATGCAATCTGAGAATTTATTTTCAACTTTTTTGTTTTCCTAATTTAATTTAATAAACAAATTTGATTAGTTTTTGCAGTGTTTATTGTACATTTCTATCTATCTATATATATCGTGTTAATTGCGTGATTTACGACTGGCAAAAATTTGTGACTAAATCACATATTAATTCTATTCATTATTATAACTAGTGTTTACATTTATTACTAACTTGAAATGGTGAAAACACAAAAAGTTTCATTAATCTGTGCATTACTTACACTAAATGATACAATTGATATTTGAGTGACTAATATAAAGATTGTCACCGGAAACAACTTATCATAGAAGGGTGACAGAAGATTTTTATTTCAGTGCATGAAATTGAATATATTGACACCGATGCCGAATTCATGCAGTTGAATCAGACCGGAACAATGGATGGAGAAGCAGCCGATGATGCTGATGATCATTGGGATAATAATAGTGTCAAAATTATGTTGAATTTATATCTACAAAACATTGAGAAATTCAGAAATCCAAAAATAAGAAAGAAGAATTTATGGATTGATATTTCCAGTGCCGTGGGAAAAGGCCCAGACTGTTGTAACAAAAAATTTAGAAATTTAAAGCAGACATATATAAGATTACTGAAAAAGAAAATTAGGGACAACACAGCCAATTTTAAATGGCCATACTTTAATATTTTTGAGGATATCTACGTTGTCGATGGTGAGTATCAGCCTGAAATACAGCAAAAAGTACAAGAAGTTTCTAATGAAAGTATAGCAAAAGCTTTGCTTTCAATGAGTGCACCTTCAAAGTTTGATAATAGTCATGAAAATGGGGAAACATCAGGAGCACAGAGTGAAGAAGTAAGAAAAAGGCTAACTAGAAAACGAAATACTGAACTTAGAAAAGTGACATTAGAGATTCGAGATAGACAGAGAGTTGTAGAAGAAAAATTAGATAGATTAATTAATATTGTTGAAGAATCCAATAGTATTCAAAGAGAACGTAATAAACTTTTTCAAGAGTTTCTGGAGAAACTAAATCAATCAAGAGAAGAATGTTGACATTACACTACAAATTGTTAATAGTACATTTTTAACTCTGGGACCTGTGTGAATTGTGGTCTATTGTGTCGAAGAGATTTGTCTGAAATGGTGTTACTGGTGTGTGATATTTAGTTTTTTAATAAACTTTATATCAAATTCGATTTTTTGACTAAGACTCCTTATTTTTCTTAATTAATATGTAATTTATTACAATTGTGCCATGATAGTTTAGGGGTTAGAGTTCACTGTAAATTTCACTGTATGTGAGCAACCGGGGCTTTTTCCCCGCCGGCACCAATGAAATTGTTAGTTGCAATTTTAAGTGCTGAGAGACCACATGCAGGGTGGTGAAAGAAAACATTGAGAGGAAACCTATATATCTGAGAAATAAAAAAAATATTTTTAAGACATGTAAAGTCTGCTAACAAGCTTTCAGGCAGTATGTTGGACACTTCCTTGTCATATAACCCTCTCAGAAGTGGTAGGATGCCTGTGCCCAGTTGTGGGATGTATATAGGCTGTAAGTTTACTTTTTTTTAATTACAATCAAGCAACAAAGTCAATAGTTTATAGGTAGCTTTTCTGTTTTATAATAGGTTTAAACCATCTATTTGACTATTGTTGTGAGCCATTTTTAACCTTTTGAGTGCCAAAGTCGCCTATACTTGACCAGCACCTGCGGGCCCTGAGCGCCAGCGACGTATATAGTTGACAGAAAACCGGGCCCACAAAAATATGAAATATAGATATTGGAAAATTATTACTGGAATTTTAATTCTACACTCTTCAAAAAAGAATAATCCAGCAACATGTGAGTATAAAAAACAAGTCTCTTAGAGCCACAAGTACTAAGAAACATTGAACTAAAAAAAAATGGATTTTTATCTAAGCAAATAGGTTATATATACTTTTTTCAGCATGCCAAAGTCGTCTGGTCAAATGCTTGACCGCCAGTGTTGTAATGCGTTAGGCATAGATTTATTGAAAACTATTCAAAATTAAACACAAATGTGTTATTTTTTAAATTATTATTAATATTTGAATAAAACAAAAGGTAAGAAATATAAAAATATCATCAGCTACATAAATAAAAGAAAATTTCATCAAATCAACTTTGCATAATAAATCTAATATCTCAACTCTGGCGTATTCTTAGCGCGTCATCGATTATCCCTTCATTAGGCGTCGTGGTCAAAGATAGACTACACCCTGATGACGTCATAGACGAATAGCGGAAAAAGTAGTGCAGTGCAACATGAACGATTCTCAGAACTCATTCGCATTTTGGAAAGCATCGATGATGATGAATTTTAATAATATCAAATTAGAAATAATAAATGTTTATTTTTTTTCTTAAGGTATTGAGAGTAGGGATGGGCCGAATATTCGTATTCGGCCGAATATTCAAAAAATGTCCACTGTATTTAAATGTACGAATTGAGTAATGCCATGTCTTTCATAATTTTACTGTTGAAAGTATATTTTATTTATGGGTTAAAATTATTTGTATAGCATAATGTTTTAAACATGTACCGGTAATTTGCTCAGTATTAAATAATGCAATAACATGTCAGGTGTGGTGGGGGAGCGATAGGCAGGGTCCGGCGATAATCCCGCGCACTTTACGGTAACAAGTTTTAAACATAAATTGATTATGTACCGAGGTGATCTTGCCGAATAAAGTTCGGCCGAATATTCGGTTCGGTAAAAGTTTTACCGAACATTCGGCCGAATATTCGTATTCGGTGAAATCCATATTCGGCCCATTTCTAATGAAGAGCAATTTTTCATTTTGAATTGTGCTATTTTCTTTCTCAATCTCAAAATCATCTGGTAGCATCAGTATCATATCAAACCCCCATTGTCTTATGAGCGTAAAACTGTTCTTCTGTGCTTTACTTGGCCTATGCCTCCCCCGACACATAAAATATTTTGTGTTGATCTCTGTATATTTTGGTTAGATCGATTTCGAAATCGATACACAATGTGCGACACGGCTACATCTCTAACGTCTCAACTACGGATGCCTAATACTTGGACACGAAAATACCTCCGTTGAGTGTGACTAAGTGAGTCCAAGTGCTGGACATTTTTTACCCGCTCTTTTCATGTCGAAATAAAGCATTACGCACTATGTCTAACTCATTCTACCATATGTCGATGTGTACAGGATAAAAAAGGTTACCATAAAAACCCCACGTGTACTTTAGTGGGATTTTTTATATATACAATTGAATTGTTAGAATCGTAAATAATCTAGCGCCCTCGAGCAGACAAACTGAGCTTGGTTGACTCCAATCTCATTCGATGATTTATGCAAAAATTTTATATGGCATTTGGATATGCCATGTATGTTAACACAAGACTTCCGAGTTTTTTAAACAATTTATTAAAACATAAAAGTGGGAAGTACTTACATATGCTTTTTAATATTTTTATTTTAATGTTTAATATTTGAAATTTTTATTTTTTTTTATTCTAACATAAACAGGTTGTGGTTTTTAAGGTTACCTCAGATACATATTTCTTACATCGGTTTTTTTAATGTACATTTTATCTGTATATATACTTTGCGAAATTCATAAATTAAAAAGAATTTAAATTTTTTTTAATTCTTTTTGATTTTCTTTTTACGTACGTTTGAGTTTTGCAAATCGTGTAACGTTGCGTTATATTTCAATCTAGAGCAAGATTGCTGATACCTACAGTACCATTCGTAAATGAACTGTAGATAAAGTAATTCCAACAAGTACCAGGAGCCTTTTAAAGAAATGATTACGCATGTTATATATTTATTCAATATTATACTTATGTCCATCCATCCATTTAGTTTTTATTGTTGCCTAGCTATAATTTGTTTAGCTAATTATTTCAGACTATCATTGTTGAAATAGTTAAGTTAGTTAAGTTACAGCGTATGTTGTTGGCGAACACCACATGCCTTCGAAATATTTTTTTATTATTTCTCAGACAGTCAGACTTCCTCATGATATTTTCCTTCATCGCCGAGCACGTGGTAAATCAGCACTTAAAATTGCAATTAACAATTTCATTGATGCTATCGGGGATCGAACCCAATTTGCTAGCGTACAGTGAAATTTAACGCGAGAGCTAACCATATGAGTCACCGGGGCTCTTCTGAGCCACCACGGCTCTCATCCTTGAAATGAGTACACCTTTTTATTTTGTATGTTTTCTATAGAATAGTGTGACAAATGAGCATACAGTCCACCTGATTGTAAGTATTTTAATATTTTTAATATTTGCATCTATCATCGATTACATATGCGTTGTCACCCGTGAGGACTAAGATGGAATGCCTCGTTTCCAGTAAAAACCGTCTTCGGTTCTCTATATACGAAACAGTCAGTATTAAACTGACTGTTTCGTATATAGAGAACCGAAGACGGTTTTTAACCTGAAATATAATATATAGTGGAATATATAGTATATTCATATATTGCTAATATTTCACGCTGGTATTCTGTGAGAGCGTGGTCCTTCCCCGGTGGAGCCGACGCACTCGTGTAACAACTATACTACTAATATAACTGCAGCATGGCTCTACCACATATAAAAATGTTTTAATGTACTAGTACATAATGCACAAAAGTGCAAAATCGAACTTTAATTCTGGCGTATTTTTGGAGCATAAGAAGTGGGTTCTTTAAAAATCTATATCCATAATATTTTTTTATTTCAGGAAGAGATATATTTATTTTAAATTTTATTATTTCATAGATATTATTTGTGTTAAAGGAAATATATTACCTTTTTGAGAAATAATGTTGTTAAGATTATTTTAGTTATTGGAAATGAAATATAACCGCAGCGCACCCCGCGGCGCCTCTGAACGACTTTGTCACTTGACACATATTATGGCGTATTGAGTATTGTATACAAAAAACGTAATTTTAGACTACATCGGCGGGAGTGACCCTTGAGTGGTTTTATGGCTTTTAAGAGAATGAATGAATCTTTATTTCTCTACAAGTGCTGTTGAAAATTGTTTGCTCAAATAAAGTAATTAAATTATCAATAAATACGGCACTTACGGCTAAAATTTTGATATCGGCATTAAGAATACTTATGAAATACTTTATGAGATTTGTAAAACTTATCAAGATTTATTTAAAGATGGTTGAATCATGTAAGGAAAAAGAGAGGTTCAACTAGTCCTGGAAAAAAACCACATGTTTCTTCATGAATTTAAGTCTATATTTTTAATGAAGTAAAAAAACTATTTTTATTGACTAATGCATTGATGCCGCATCTGGTCCGAACTACATTCTACATCGGTGTAAGTTGATTGTGGGTTCTGTTGCGGTTTCGGTTCGCATTAATGCGTTTTATGATAAAAAATTGTATTGTAGCCTATGATTTTGCACATAAAATATTGTAAACAATAGGTTAAAGATTAAAATAAAACAAAATTGAAGTATTAAAAAACTTTGTTTCATCGAGAAATATGACAATTTTGACTTTACTCAATATTTACTTACACTAATTACTTTGGGGCTTTATTAAATTTATGAACTCGTTTGAAGGAAATTTCATAAAGAATTTAGAAATGTATACATATTATAGTATTTGATATACCAAAATAAAGAAATTTGCGTTTAAACGGATTGCGCCTAATGAGCCGTCAGTTTTATTAACACATTCAGTGCCACCGACTCGCCCGGAGAGTTCACGTAAATCTTATTCCAGTGCCGACGACTCGTCTGGCGAGTTCAGTGTTTTTCACTAATTTTTCCACAATGCATCCGTATTTTGTGCTTAAAATTATAGTTTAGACTAAATATATGCTAAACTAAAGATTTACGTGGTGAGCCGGGTGTGGAGACCCCGTTTAAATTTGAAAGGAAACAAACTATTCTGCAATGCCTTGAACTCGCTAGGCGAGTTCCCTGACATAGATCGTCAACCTTTGACATGTTAGACAACGACGTGAACATAGTAGCATGGACTACCTACATACTTGTGATATGGAACTAATATACAACAAACTAGTTTCA